ATATATATATATATATATATATAATCATCCTGACTATGCTCGCGTTCCGCTCTGCTAGGGTTTCGCCTCACGACAAACCCTTGCGTCTGCTACATGGATTTCTCGCGTCGTCTATCGTCTTCGTCGTCGACGTTGGTGCTCGCGTCGTCGCGTTGTCGTGTTTCTGGTGGCAGATCTGTGCTTCACGTTCGTCGAGTCGTCTCGCCGTGTTGCGGTCTGGCGGCAGAGCCTTTCGTGCTTCGTGTTCGTGCGGGCCTTGCGCTCTAGCGTCAGCTCAACACTGCTCTGCCCGACAGCTGAGTCGGGTCTCACTCGACACTCCTCTGCTTGACAGCTGAGCCGGGTCTAAGCCAGCAGGCTGCTGCTTCCTTGCAGTGTCTTGATTGCCTTTCTTCATGGCAGCGTTTCATTCCTCTCTTGGGACCGAACCTACTACGGAGGTGGGCAAAACCTCCTATGCTACAGTGGTTCACAAACGCAACTCCCCTTTCCACCTCGCAGATAGTGTGGTATTCCCACAGATTTACCATGATTCTGTTGCAGGAAATGACAATTGAAATTTAATTAAAAAAGTTAAGAAAAAGACGGGCAAACCAGCAATTTTCTTCTCTGACGCTGAAATTTCAACTCGTGTAGAAAAATACAAATTTACACTAGTTGGAAAGTTTCAATTAGGTTGCCCTAAGATGGAGATCATTAGGAAAGTTTTTGAAGATTGCAAACTGATTGGGGATTGGCAGGTGGGTCATTTCGACGGAAGACATGTTATGATACAATTGAACATAGAAGATGATTACACGAGGATTTTCTCAGAGAAATTTATCACAATTGAGGGCAAACATATGAAATTGCTCAAATGGACCCCTAATTTTGATCCCAGTCAAAAACTCCCAATTGCACCTATCTGATTCTCATTACCTGAACTCAAGCTTCATTTCTTTGACCTACCTACCTTATATGCAATTGAGATTATCTTTGGAAAACCTTTGCAGGTAGACTTACCTACAGTTTATTTCTCAAAACCCTCTATTGCAAGGATTTTTATTGAACGAGATATTACACTAATAGATATAGAAGAAGTTTGACGTGGATCTGTTCATAATGGTTATTGGCACAAAATCAATATGAAACAAAACCCTTACTACTGCAAGCACTGCAAGATGTTTGGACACCTGCAGGAGAAATGTTTCAGATTGTACCCACAGTTGAAAACCAATAGTCAAAAGCAGGAACACACTATTAGTGCGCCCCGTGTGCCTGAACGCGCTCCCAGCAAACCTGAAGAGGGAATCACCACAAGACATGAGTTGGTATCTGCCCTTGGGATCCCTTCTCCCGACCATACTACAACGGATAATGTTCGAACCGAAAATCAGGATAGTCCCGCAGCTCCTATTCAGGAAGCGTCAGGTGCAGATGTAATAATTCACACTTCACATACACTGGAACCTATCGCGGTGACAAAGACTGCCTTTCCTCCTACTGCGGTTCTAACATCAAATCAGACCGAGAATCCCTTGAGTAAGTCTTCAGATGAAGAATGACAGATTTACACTTCTCGGCGGAAGAGGAAGACTGGGGGCACACTCCAACTTGGAAACTTAATGGATGATACTCTGGTTACTCCTGACAATGACACGACTCTTCAAAGTTTGTTATCTAGATCCGCTCCTAAAACTAAGAGGAAGAGGCAGGGCAAAACTGACTCGTCCCTAGCTACTTGTTTTCTGCATGTTTTAAATTTGTTTTACATTTTATTGAGTCTATCTGTATCTTTTTGTTGGGGTATTATTGTACTTGTATCGTATGAGTAGGGTGCCTCTTTTGGGCTCTTCTCATACAACCTTTATGTATCCTTTCTCTTTCAATAAAATCAGCCCTTGGGCTTTTCAAAAATAAAAATAAAATAAGGAAAAACACACACACTGGGTTTAAGGTTACCTTTTAAAATATCAAAGTTTCTCTCAAGAATCTTTAGAATATGTGAAGCAACTTCCCTGTATATATATATATATATATATAATGTATGTTTGTGTGTGTGTAAAAGAAAAAATATATTCATAGTTTGATAACTCCTATATTAAAAGTAATGTTTTATTTATTTATTCATTATAATTTATGTTCATTATTACAAGATAATGTGTTACAGTGAATCTTGTAGATAGCTTCACCAATCACATTTGTTTCATGTCTCATAACTATTCGAACATATATGCACATTTATTAGTAATTATTCTCTCTTCCCAAATTAATATTTTTCTCTCTTCCCTAAGGCATATATTGCAATTATTCATTCATCTCTTCCGAAATTAATATTTTTCTAGCTGAGATGAGGAGGATAAGGGCTAATTACCTTAGTAATGTCCTCACTAGCATTTAGGAAGTATGGGGCAAGAGGGAGTAAAGTTAGGCCTGACACACTGGTATTGAATCATTATTTTAGTCCAAAAGCTTAAACCTATAGGAAAAGGCCAATCCATTGATTTCTTCCATTTGATGTGGGCTAAATCCAATATTCTCGCTCGTCTTTACGATTCTTGCCTTCATGTGAAAGCTCTTACTGTCATCCATCATTTTCTCTCAAATGAAAGATTTCTAACTTTTTTGAGTATCATACCATAAGAGCTTAATCAACTATGAGGAGCTATTGTTGGTTTCAAGTGTTGTCACAACTTATCAACCAAAGCACAAACCACTAGTAACACAGGATAAAAACCACATGAACCATTCTACATAATTGAGCTTTGAATTATTGTATAACATTTAAGGAGTACAGAGTGAGAAGGGGGTGGGATGGGCCTGTTGAAATTAGGTGTAATATGCCACTTCTCAAGCCCATTTTTAATCCAAAGCTTTAATCTATGGGAGAGGACCAATCATTTGGTACTTTTAAACTATAACGTCTTAACTATGCTATGTATGAATAAATTTAATACTCATGTAATTAAATAGCAATCATCATTTAAAATGTTATTTCAATAATTTTATCTTTCATCTCTTTCAACTACTATCAAATACTATTCGTATCTTATTCTTATCATTAACATTCCTAAAATATAATACATTGTACCATTTGTTAGAAAATTTTCCCTTCCATCTCATTTCTTGCAAACATGAAATGTTTATCCTTCTTTGAATTTTTTCTTTCAAATATTCATGTTCAAGGTCTCAAATATAGTCAGAATTTCATGCTTTTTATCACATTTGGTCAAGTTGTGAAGCATCACCTATGAGTGATGTTGTAGCAAACCTTTGCCTATTTTCTACCACAATCAGGTTCCGACAGTGCGTTACATTGAGGAAACACCTTAACACTTTCAAAATATAAATTTGAATTCCTTTTATAACTTTTTTTCCAAGTTTAATGATTGGTTGTTTATATAACATCAATCCTCAGCCTTTCCACTCCCTGGTTGAGTTCAACAATAGTGTTTTTTGAGATGGCATGAATTGTTCAGGGTTAACAGTGAACAGATAGACACTTTCATGCATTTTACTCAGCCTTCTTCTATTCCCAAGTTGTCTCTGTTTTTTTTTCCTTTCATTTCATTAAATTTCTAGTTAATTTTTTTTAGCCACAATGTGCTTTGTTTTGGCATGGATGGAACCATAAAATACTGTTGCAGTAGTTCACGCTTTTCCTTAGGAATGTCCTAAGTCTTTTTGTTTCGTACGGAGTTTTCTTCTTTTTCCTTTCATTTCATCACTTGGTAGATATTTCATCTAGTTCCTGCCGGAATGATTTAGTATTTTCTTATTCCTATATATTGCAGATTTTAAGCATACGTGGGTTTGTTCTTCTCTGTTTTGTGACTTCTGTGATGAATTTTGTATGCTTATTATAGGTGAAAATATGTGATATTTGTGGGGATGCAGGAAGAGAGGCCCTTCTTGCTATTTGTAGCAGCTGCAGTGATGGTGCAGAGCACACGTAAGTTCATTAGTCCCCTTTTGCTTGCTCAATATAACTCTTATAATTTTTTTCTTCCATTATCTTATCAAAATTTTGATTCTTTGTACAGTTATTGCATGCGTGAAAAGTTGGATGAGCTTCCCGGGGCTGACTGGCAGTGTGAAGAATGCAAGATCAAGGAGATGGAAATTCATAATGTGGATAAATCTGAGACAGTCTCTGAAGTATCCAAACCAGCATTTTTATGTCAAAGTATTCAAAACTCTGTCAGTACTTTGATTCCAAATAAGTTACCAAATTTGGATGATCGAGGGCTGGCTAAGGGATTGAAAAGCCCTAAGATTTTGACTAGGAGTCAAGCGGACCATGTAGAAGAAACAAAAGTTTCAATCAAAAGCCAGAAAATAAAAGTAAAAAAGGCAAACATGGAATCGTCTGAAGGTCGATCTGTAAATGGTTTTCAGGCTTTTCATTACTCTCATAATTTTCTTAGCTCTGGTTCATTGAAGGGTCGATCACAGGCCCATTCTCCATATTGTAAGCCTGTATTAAATTGCTTTTAACATAGCTATTTTAGATTTTCTTTCCCTCCGACAATGCTCAAATCACATGCTTAAATACAGTTTTTTGCTTGATTCTCTCAGGTTATTTTTCCAAGTCAGTTTCTTGCAACTCTATCATTAATCAGAATGTGAAAGAACTTGTCAAAAATGATCGTTACAAACAAGAAATTGAAAGGGAAGCCAAGCGCTCCAAACTGAAAAATGAAAATGTGGTCAAATCAATAAATAAATCTACTTCCTTTAAAAGCTCCAGCTCTGGCTTCTCCAACACTGAGCCAGCAAGTAAAGATAAGCCTTTTCATCCCTCCAGCATTGAAAATCCAAGAGGACTAGATGAGGTAAAAGAAAGAATCACTTTTGAGAAGAATCCTCCTGCTATATCTAAAACTTCTATCAGTAAATCAGCAGCTCTTGCCAGTATTTATCATCTTAAGACAAATAGAAGGTCTTCACAAAAAGAAGAGAATTTAAGCAGTACCATTGAATCAAGTTGTCAGAGCATAGCGAAAAGATCATACCATGCAAATCTCTCAGGTAAATATTTCAGTTTCTGTGTTAGCTTATCTAATATATTTCCCATTACGTTGTGCTAATTATTTATTGGTGTTTTATTAGGTTGCAAGGAAAGAAAGAAACGTATCTTACGTTCCTCTAATAGCATGGAATTTTTTGATGAAAAGTTCAACTCTGAAGATTGTAAGGAATTGAAAGAATTTGTAAGGTCAGGTTTCAGTGCTGTTGATGCTCTTCAACCCTCAGAATCAGATACTGAGGACAACAAACTCTGGGATTCTGACAAGTTCATTAGTCCAAGATTATCATCTTCAGGTGGTAATCAAACATTACATTTTCAAAAATGCAACAAAACAGGGCAAGAAATTCAACCATGCTCTAGTGACGAACTTCAAGTATCTGCTTACCATCCTTCAGACGAACGAAGTTTAAGTGAGACGAAAAAGGGAAAGGATTGTATAGATTTAGTGGATGAAAGGAATACAAACAAAAAATCGCTCTCAGAAACATCGCCAGGAGAAGCGTCCGCTTTGGCAAGCCGGTTAAGGGCCTTACCAATTCCGAAGCTTGAATTCATATGGCAGTATGATATGCTCTTTTTCTTAGATTTATATACATTTGTTTTTTTTTTCTCATATATATAACTAAGTTTTTCTTCAAATTGCAGAGGTAGTTTTAATGTTCTGAGATCTGATAGATGCGGACAATTATTTGATGGAATTCAAGCTCACTTATCAACTTCTGCATCTCGTAAAGTGCTTGAAATAATCAACGTCTTTCCTAACAAAATTCAGTTGGAAGAGGTCTATCAAACAAGTTTATGGCCACTGCAGTTTCAAGGAATTGTTCCTGATGAAAAAAATATTGCTCTTTTTTTCTTTCCCAAAGACAATGAGAGGTTTGAAAATGGAGAATCTTTTCTTTACTTTTGTTTGAGTTTCAAAATATTGCTGATAAATACTGATGTATGTGCTCCGGTGCAGTTATGAGAAGGTTTATAGCATTTTATTGATTGAGATGCTTGAAACTGATTTAGCTCTCAAAGGAATGGTTGACGAGACTGAGCTTTTTATATTCACATCTAAAATGCTGCCTAAGCATTCCCAACGTAAGTAATAATCGTGGTGATGTATGAGTTGGACATAAACGAAATAATTCTTCAGACTTTTAATATTTTATGAAGTATTTCGTTAGAATATATTCTAAATATTTTGTACTTTTCAGGGTGGAATATGTTATATTACCTCTGGGGGATGTTCATAGATAAGAGGAAACAGTATTTGCCTACTCAGAAGATCCCTTTGTTTCTTATGGACAACTCGTCTAGGATGACGGCCAAACCAATGGATGTTATTGATAATCCTGAGTTGCAGTTTTGCACGTTACAGTGGAGCTACAAAGTGAATATTGGTATGGGTTGTCAGGTAATATTTTGACATCTCACCAAAGCAATTTCATATATATATATATATATATATGTATGTATGTATGGATGTATGTATGTATGCATGATTACGAGCTGTTATCTCCACACACATCTTGTACAGAGTAATCACATCTTTGAATGGTTGAAATTTAAAAGAGATCATTCTCTTTCAATTCCTAATGCCTTATGTAATTAATTAAAAATTTCTTTAAATCTTAACCATATAAAATGTGTGATAACCATAAAATGTCTCTCTCTTTCTCTCTCTGTAAACTAACACACAACTTTCTAATCTTCTTCATTTTCCTATTATTTTTTGGCATCCTAAGGAACAATTTTTCCTTGTTCCAACTATAATTTTTCTTCTTTTTCATTTCCAACTAGCAAATTCATTCAAGGCCCTAGGAATTCATTATTTTTCCCATTCAAAGATTCACCCTTTTGTCGTGTATTTTCATATCAATAATTTCTTTTAGATGATCAGTTGGGCCCATGCAGATCCACTCTTCCCCCTATTCAAAGATTAGTTTCTTATTTGTGTTATATCTTGCGAAGAATTTTTTGTTGTGCTTGGTTATATATTTAATTATATTTTTTTCACCTTTTAAGAAACTTGACCTCCCATTCCCCCTAACTACTGCTATTGAGGTAAATGCTCTCATTTTCTATCAAAATCTTACTTAATTTGTACCGTTTGTATATATAGGATAAATTCTTTAACACTGGCAAAAACACAAAATATGGCGAGTCTTCTCATTTCTCTGATGCAGCGTCACGAAATTGCAATCCAGGTGTGTCTTAACTTCAATTATTTATGAAAAAAAATAAATATTATTTATTTTCATGGTTTTTATTAATAATACCATTGTAACAGCTGATGAATGCAGCAAAAGTGAATGCAAAAAGAGAAGGAATCAGATGACTTGTTTTAGCATTGGAGGCAGTTTGGGACAAGAAAATTTAAGTTCCAACATTTTCAGCCAACAGCAGTGCACACAGATTATCAGCAGCCAACCTGCGATACCTGAGATCTCAAGAATTGTAGAAAGAAATTTCTTTCCAGTTCATATAGCTCCTTCGATAAATAACAAATACCGAAACCCTGCACATATTACTTCATCAACTGATAATTATAACTCAGAATCCTGTGCTCCTGATCTTGAGCTAACTCTTGGAAATAAGAGTAAAATAAGAAAGCCTGCTCCATTATTACCTCTGCTGCCTCCATTAGTTCCTTTTGGGAGTGGGGATGGTGATGATTTATCAGCTTTGCTCTCTCTGTAGCTTGTTTATTCTGCACCAGATTAGGAAGTCTCAGCCAAGAAGGTTTTGTTGAAATACAGTAATAGAGCCATTGCCATATGTTCATAGCCAAATCCACAGTTCTCTGTTTCATCTTTGAGCACTGCGTTTTACTTGCAGTTTCGATGATAGAGAGTTTATATAGTCCACAACGGCGTGATGTATATAAGAGGAAGGCCGCAGTGTTAAAAAGTGAGTTTTTAGTAAACTTTGTTTTATTTGTTTGGTTGTACTCATATTACTATTTAGTATAAATACACCAAATTGGTCTACTATCACAAAAGTTTTCTACTGCTATTGTTTCTATCTTCTATTTTGCTAACTATGATGGAAAATCAAAACAAGTTAAAATTGAGAATATATGAGATGTGGTTTTTAACATATTTTAATTTCGAGAACATAAATAGATTTGGTTATTTATTTATTTATTTATTTTTATCAAGTCTGATTTGATTCGTTTTGATTAGAAATGGTTTGAATGAATTTATTTGGTATCTTTTGCAGTAAAATGATGGATCATTCAAGTAGATTTTACAAAGATATTGTTCATATAATTTATATATGTAAACATACAATTCTTCTATGCCTTCATATTTAAGATTTAAATTTTTGTATTTATATTTATAACATTTTGTTTTCATAATTTATTTTTAAAAAGTAATGGTTGCTGAATCCAAATGTTTGTATATTATACCTAAGATATAGAACGTTGGACGAATGAGAAATAAAGAGAAAGAGAGGGAGAGAGAGAGAGAGCTGAGTAATATAAGTTTTGAGTAAATTTAGTAGTTTCTTACTGAAAAAATAATCTCCTATTTATAGGTCCTAAGAGTACCTAGTATGGAATTATATGTATGTACCTATTTTAGTAGGGACAAAGTATGACACCCATTCATATCCATAATTGGTCTTAGCATAATTTCATATTCGTAAGTGTTTGAAGTTGGATATTTAATGACTCGTTAATTTTGTTGCTTGATCGATTTAAAACCTTTGGTTCGTTGAAGGTTATCGGTCGGTTGAAAGGACATCGGTTGATAGAGACCCTCCTAGTGTAAGGGTGAATTTAGACTGTTAGGCATATGGTGTATCACCTTAATATGATGGGCAACTTTCTTTGGACAAGGGGCTTTATTGAAGGATTAGAAATGTATTCCGTAGGAAATCGGTTGGCCATATTTGTGAAAGAGTCTAGAATCAGTTGAGGGAATTGGTTACGAACGACCGTCCTTTGGATTATGTGACATCTATTCTTCTTTTCGACTAGACTTTTGTTCAGTCGACTCATAGTACTAACAGTAGGAAACGACACTTGGTATTTTTCGTTTTTTAAGTATTATGATGCTATTCTTTGAAGTTCATAAGTGAGCTTCGTTGAATTTCCTCGAGATTCTTCTAATCATATTTTTGATGTACATATTTAGTCTCCAGGGCCTTACTTTTTGCAAGCAAAAACTACGATAAGAAAAGAGAAATAAATGTCAAAATTGACTAATTTATTACATGATAAATACTTTTAATAATTGAACTCATGAATTTTTAGCATGCAATCCCTATAAATAGAGTGTGATCAGTACTTCTTCGTCACTCTTTCTGAATTTTTCGCCCTTTAGTCAATTTTTAATAGAAGTGAGTTATGGAAAGCAGTAAGAAACTCATAAATGAGGAGGCCATGACAAAGACCTTAGAGATTTGAATCGAATAACTTTGCCCTCCTAAAGTCATAGGGGAGAAAAAGAAACCAGATAGTAGTCAGTCTGTGATAAAGAAGTCAAGAGATGAGGGCCCGACTGGCAACAAGAAAGAGGTCGAAAGGACAAGGCCGACCGATCGACTCGAAAAGGTCGGAAGTCGGGAGCCAACCAAAGGGAGAGAAGCTAGTTAAACAAGTTTTCCAAAAGAAGCAATGGGTGAAGCGGCCGAGTCGTCTGACTCCTTGCTGCTCCATCGTGAGATGAGGAGCGGGGCTGATGTGCACACCATTGGTGAAATAGTCATTTGGTTATGATATGTAAGAGATCGGCTCAGTAAGTGGTCTAAGTGGTCGCAATGACCCAAGTCTAGTCGTGTGAAGGTGGAGCTCCTTTTTTTTTTGATGGGAGACCAGCCAGGCAGTCGTCCAATCACTTGCTAGTGAAAGCTTTCGATCGTCTGAGATGGAGGAAATGATTGGTATGTGAAAGCATAATTTTATTTAATTCAGTAGATTTTTTCATTTTCCTTTTTATGACATTTGATTATTCTTGTAGAGGAGACCACACATAGTATCGACTCATAGATACTAGAGTTACCCACCCTCAACTCCAAAGGTGACTTAGGGACCCTCTATTTCGGTCTATGGTGGAGGTGCACTGTGCCATCTGTTTGGACCTGAGAAAGTCAAGAGGTAGGCCGATGATCGACAAGAATCTTTAGCATTGCTGGCTCGTCAGAGGGCTGAAATAGTAGAATCCTTCACCTGGGAAGTTGCCTTGTATAGGGAGGTTGCCATATCCAACTTGAAGGAAGAGCTAATGGTTCTTTATGAGGACATGGCGACTTTCCAGACAGAGGTGGCTACTCTTCAAATGGAGCTAACAAAAATCTGGGTGACTAGTTCTTTGATCTCTTAGGTCCAGCTGAGGAAGAGTGTGGAGAAGTTTAAGTTGTAAAATATATCCTTTCATAAATAAAATTTAATTTTTATGAATTTTAAAATTTTAATATCATTTCATTTTCTCAAATTACACACTAATTTGATGTGAATTTCTGGAGATTAAGGTACAAATTTAAGGTGTTTTAAATTCTCTGGATACCCTATATATAGGGTTAAAGGGATAATGGGTTTTACGCTTTTCATTTTTCTCTTCTTTCTCTTCAGTCGTTTCTTGTCTCTCCTTTAGGTCGATTTTCTTCTAGTATTCCTGTGAATTTCAAATATTCTTCAAAATTATTTGGTTTAGTGCTAGCAACTGAAACGTCTACTCTCACATCGTTCGATGCAGAGCTTTTGAAAGATACTAGTGTATACAACACAAGTGCAGTGCTTGTGCCGGTGGAGCCGAATGCAAGGGAGACTGAACACTTCAATGATGATCTAATATTCTACATGGATCAGTTTAGTTGGGGACTTCAACAGCGATTTTCCACAAGAACTTGTTAATCCTTAACCATTACTGAGTCATCTCCATGCAAATAAAGCCAAATTCAATCACAATAATGATGACTTTTGTTATTTACTCACATCGAATAGAGAAAAATTGGTCTCGGGAATAGTTCTCCTACATGTTTTTTTTTTCATAGTAGAGCCAGATGGCTATGTGGTATTCAGCTCAACTTGGAAATTCCATCTGATTGATCTGGATAATAAAATCAAGAATTGGAGGTTCAGATTCTACCGAGTTATTTGTGAGCACTAGGGAATCACTACAAGGCCAAACTAGGAGCCATACAAGAAAAAGAAAGGAAGAAGAAAGGTATCACATAGCTGGTATTGGGACATAAATCAATAGCCATGGGGAAATAGATGGCAGTCATCCAATATATTAACCCCATGATAGTGAATTAGATGTTGAACCCTACGTAGTTCAGCGAAATGATTCCTGCACTGCGAGCCACTTTTGATGAGGCGAGAGGCAGATTGGAAAGGCTACACGGCTGTGGTAGAAGGAGCTGAAGAAGAAGAAGGGTATTGCTTCCACCCCTACGATAGAAGAGGTCGAGGAAGAGGATGATGAGGTGGCCAGGACAATCCTAGGTTTGACATTAATTCACTCTATCTCTGAAATAGTAGTTGTCATTTAAAACACAGTCATTTAAAACACAGTTACTACTGAATTGATTCTAATTAAGTGAAAACCATCTTTGATGTATTTAGAGGCATTGAGGGATCGACTTAAAGAGGAGAAACACCTAGCATCATTGAATCAGATGCTGAGGAATCCTTCAAGCAATTATTGACAGGGAGCTTTCAAGCCATCTTTCTTGGGTTTTTTTCCTCTTACTGAAAGAGGGGAGGCTAATTGACATTCTCCACGATCGCCAGCTTCACCGACAGAACAAGTAGAAGGAAAAGCAAGCAGAAAAGCTAAACAAAGAAGGAGGGACTTGAGTTGGTGTCTGCTCCAGAGCACGGGCTGACCACTTTTGAAGAAGAATAACGTCGAAGGAATGACAAAGCTCTGGCCCAAGATTCTAACTCTTCCTTCCCCTTACCTCCCAAAAAGAAATAGAAGGGAGGTAAGGATTATTATAGCTCGTTGTAGGAAACGTGATTGAAGGTCTTTCTCAACTTATACTCTAGTTTTGCCATATGAAAAATCTTGAGGGACTAATTCCCACAAGCCCTGGGGACAAATGAGAATGCTTTGACCATCACCGACATACTTTAGTTATTTGGCCTACAAAAATTCTTGAATAACCTCATGCTGAGAGACTTATGTCACATGGTTGATCGATATCAATTACTTGAACCCACAACCACCATCATATATATTCTCTGTATCTTGAAGTGAGAGACAAAGCCTTGAAAGCTGAAATGAAGGCCAAAGAGTTCAAGGCATGAGAAAGAGAAATGGAACATCGGGCGGCTGTGGTAGAGGCTTGATTGGAGGATGATGGGGCGGAGCTGGAGATCAAATCAAAGTGGAAATCTATCTTCTAGGAGGAGAATGTTGAATTTACAGAGAAGATGACTGCAATAAAGATGCCCAAAGAGTTTTTTTGACACTCAGGTTGTGCATTTATAGATATGTATCAAGGTAGTGATAGAAAAATTCGTAAGAGCTGGGATGGTCAATCTATTATGATATTGATGAGTTCAAAAAACTCTTCATTGCTCTTTCATCTTTAGCACTCATAGAGGAGTATAAGGGCGATAATGTGGTGGATGATGGATCATCCAACACTCAGCACGAAGACTCTTACACTTAGAACTTTTTGTAAAGTAACCATATAAATGTATATGAAAATATTTGTTCAGAAATACATGTAATGGAACAATAATATGAATGAAATATGACCTTCAGTCGATTTTTACATGTGTTGTTACTTGTTTCCTTACATGGTTTAGTAGCTTATGACATATCGCATTAATCATAAGTTCTTTTAGTTGATTTTTTAATGTTCACCTACCAGGTCAAGTCTTATAAAGTACCTATCCCCTTTGCTTAGTCGTGTTATTACCTAGGAACGTGCCAATCATTGAGACTTTTTGCTAGGGTGATTTTTTTTAGTACCCTTTGCTGAGCTTGTCGCTACTAGGTAAGGAACCACTCTAATTTTTTGCCCGGCTCGAGTTTTAGGGATAAG